ATATATACATACATAAATATATTTTGATAACTATTCTGATTTTATTTGATTTTAACTGTTTTCTTCAAGTTTACACGTATGACCTAATGTAATATCTGGTGGTTAATGTAATGAGCCACGAGACAAAGCAACAAAAATTTGCTTTTTGGAAACGAAAAAAAAAAATTAGTATTCACAGCTAAATAATTTAAACAATAAAAAATTTAATACGTCCATTCAAAATATTTTTTAACCACAGTTTTTCTTACGCCCGTAAAGCGTAAAATGAAATTCACAGTCAAACACAAAATAATAGAGACTTGCAGACCGTAAACGTTGCATCACGTTTATTACACGACGCCACCAGATATTAATTTAGCGAAGGTGCCAAGTGATTCACTATCAAGCGTAAACGCATAAACTTATGTTTTCCTCGTTGTATATAATTTTAATTGCCTAATACACGCGCGTTTGTGTGTTGGCGATGAAAATTACATCTTCACGTCTTTATTGGTCGCTGTATATTAGATAACTCGAGCTAAAAAGCTTGAATTGATTCGAAATAACGTTCACACCTGGATTTCTTTGTATTTGGGTTTGATTCAAGGAGATTCAAGCATCAAATCAAAATAAAGCCAAAGAAATTAAACTGAATTTTCTTTGAAAATTGTTGTCTTATTCTAATAAGGACACGAGTAATGTATTAACTAACAAAATGTTAGGTCAATATCGTTATAGCATTATTTCAGTAGTCAGTACTTATAATCAAACTTGCTAGAATCTCCTTACAATTATTTGAGACAATTAGTCTTGAATAACATTCATTGACATTATTGTATTAAAATTGTGCATGATGTGCTGTGTTATTATACTTAATGCGATACTTTGACATTTATTTTAGTCGATTGTTTTCGCATCACCGCAAACACACGTTGTTGAACTGTAATGTTTGAAAGTATGTGCCACTTCGATTGTTTCGAATATTTGGCTTCCATTTTGCAAACTAACTCTGTTAGACCTACGACTGCTTATCTTTTTTTGAAACAAAAATATTAATTATTTAGTGCAATAAGTATTTTTACAATTTTTTAGAGTGCAAATCTTTGTAGTACTTTAAACTGTAAACACTAACATTTTAAATCGTACTCCAGTAGGCGATTAAAACAAAAAAAGTCCAAACGTAGCTACGTTTTCTTTCTTAAAATTAAATCTTTCGATATTATTAAGCTTAAGGGTAGACGAAATTCTATAGGCGATAAAGCAACGTAAGTGTCATTCCTTACCTTTGTATTTACGCGATGCAACAGCATCATAAAATTCGTAGGTTTTCTTCCGATGCTTCTTATATTTCTTCCGCAATGAACTGTCAAAAAAGAAATACCTATATATGTTTCTTGCGCGGCCAATAGACGATTGTAAGGATATTTAACTAAAAAACTATTATACTATATGATAAAATGAACAACTTGTTGGAGTTTTTCGAAGTTACGTCACTCACTTTTGTAGAGTATAAGATTTTATTTATTGATTTCTGTGTTTCGTACAAAAAAAAAAAAAAAACAGAAAAAAAAAAAATAGAACAGGTTAATCTTAGAGTGCATCGGTCACGATGGATGCAAACGCGTTTGGTTTTTGCGTTTCCAAGTATACATACACCTCAAGTTCGTATAAACAGTAAGAGTCGAAGAGTGAAACAAAACAAAACAAAACAAAAATATGGCTCTGGGCTCTTTTTAAATGACAAACAATGAAAAAGAACAAAAATACACGCGGTCGATCGAGAAGGATACATGCCTAAAATTATTTTCCAAATTTTTTACAGCTCGTTCGAACTGTCCTCAGCATGAAAAGAAAAAAAGAAAAAGAAAAAAAAAGATTGAAACAACAGAATGAAAATGTTTTAATGATACGAAATAAAATTGTGTGATTGTTGAACCAAACACTTGTTTCATTCATCCTCCACTCCATCTACTTTCCACAAAGCCTATATGCAGCACCAAATGAATTATTGTTCACTCGAGCCATTGTGACTTTCAGTTTGTTTGCGGGCTCTCCTCGTGTACTGCTTGACCCTAACGGTCACCCCGCGTCCACCGGTGCTGCCAGTATCTCTTCTGGCCTCCTCGAGCGAGCTACGGTTATCGCACTGGCTGCATCTCCAATTAAAATCAGGGCCCTGCGCGTCGACGACTGACGGTTGATGGCAGAGTGGGTGATAGAGCTCGCTGCACCCTCGACATTTGATGAGTATCAGAGGACCAAATTCGGGCACGTTGCATACCTTCGGGGGAGAAAAAAAAATGAAAAATAAATTTGCTTCGTACGAGTGGCATCTTTTTTATCCTCATACCCATGTGTGCGTAGGTAAGGTTGCACATTTATTCTGAATTTAACAGGATCTACTGTGCACAATATCCGGTGTTTTTTTTTTACGGGAACTTGATTAACTATACGTTTGGCCTTATGGAATTGTTCGGGCACAGGGGGATAATATTACAGCGAAATTACAACTCAACTTTGCAAACTATCGTTTCATCGCGTTGTCGCGCGCAACAGCAGTCAACGTAACTCTGCGAGTTTCTGTACGCGTGTGTGTACATGCATATATGTACACACGTGTGTAACAAAGGCGACGCGAGAAATAGTTTCCCTTTTGTCATTTTCGCTTATGCGCTCATGTACGTGGAGACGTAAAAGTTTGCCTTTTGTTTCCGTGTGCACAGAGTATATGCACGTGTTTTGTCGGATGCTACCTTTGTTGCTGGTACGGGGGATGAATTTTCTTCACATAAATGGAAATTGTTTTGTTCTCAGTGAGCTTTCGAGATGAACAATCGTTTTACAAAAAAATATGAGATAAAAATGCGACAATTAAATTTTGTTGTAATTTAGGGGGGGTTTTGCACCCCAAGACTTATTTGCAGGCTGTTGCGATGTATGTGTTTTTTTAGGTACAAAAATTTATTTTTTTGGGAAAGCTGGAATCTAGTTTTTGATGTCTGACGTCTGCGACATCACTTCAAAACACCATCAATTAACTTCCAACTTACCCTCTCATTGGCTCCGTACGAAAAGACTTTACGCGATACCGCAGGAAGTACTTGCGAAGTATGTTCAGAAAATAATACGAAAATCAAAAATTTGCTTTCGTTGTAGTGTAATTTATGAGAAGTATCATCCTCGCTGGAAGACGTTGATCGAATTAATCGATCGATCGATCAATTTAAATCCTACAGAAAAGTGCCAGTACAATTGGACTATTACACAAATGAATAAGGTGTAGGGGTAAAACGTGTGTTTTTTAGGAGCCAATACTCCTTTGAACTTCATTTGATTTGAAAAATCTTACAAAACAGTCGAAAGACGGCATTAAGTAGTAATAATCGAGTTTGGGTAGACAACAATGGCAAACCGCAAAAACGATACTCGAGACGAAAACTAACCCTGCACGTGAGACTCTCGCCGTGTTCCTCGTCAGGTATGGAAATCCTTGGCACCTCGTCCTTGCCACCGACGCTGTTCCCCACCGAATCTGTGAAAGCTTCTCCGTCCGATTCCTCCTCCGATCTGTGCAAGCTCGAGTCCTCCGTTGGCTCGGCCCACTTGATCCTCGAACTCGCGTTGTCGACTCTCTCGCGAGCACCCCCGGCAGGAATGGATTTTCCGGACCCATACCTCTGAGCGATCGCGACGTTCAGTAGAACCCGCAGCTTTTCGGTGCTTCCGGGTTCGGGGGAGTGCAGCAGCCGCAGGGCTCTGGCGAAGTCTCTCACGGAGCACATCTCGGGTTCGGAGCACATTGTTTCGCGATAACCTATACTCTACGTCGATGAACACGAAATAATGTGAACAAAAGACGGTGATGATGATGATTCGTCCGAATGTGGCTGTTGGTTAACATATAAAAATGTTGGACATCCTTACGTATGGGCGTGTTTTTATCATAAAGCTACAATTTACATCGTATTTTGGGCCAAAGCATTCGTAGGTAATGCACCTCGATTTGCCGTTGTGCATATTTGATTGATCGCATGCACGACGTGCCTAATCGATGAGTTATTCCGCACATATCTGCAGAAGTATTGGGAATCGTAGGATAGGCTCTCCGGAGGCAACGATCCTCCCCCACCTTCTATACGCGCGTGCTCGCATGAAAATGGACCAATGGCAAGTCATCTTTCGGTATGTATCATGTGCGCCACGAGTTTCAACGTAGGTACACGTACGCGTACGTATCGCGCGGAATGCACATCGCTAACCAACCATCAAAATAGCGACATTCCTACCGGTGTACTGTAGGTAACTGCAACCACGACAATGATGCCTCCGGAATTCGCTTCCTCGTGGACTGTCAAAACAGTCTGTGATGCACCTATATCTCCTCGTCACTGCACCCGAGAGACGTCAAGGCGCGTATTCTTGGGAGGCGAACAGATACGCCTCGGGATAATGCGCCCCCCGTACGGTGACGCTAGTACAACAAAATAGACTTACGCCGTCCTGCAGCGTTTATCAACGATGCACGCGTATATGTTTAAATCGATTTCCGTCCGACCGGGGCTTCCCCGAATTTCGAATATCTTGAACCGGGGAACCCCCGATTTATTAAACGAAGCTCTCTATGTTTCGTATCAATTCGAGCTTGATGCTTTTTATGGGTGTAGAACAGCACGGAAGACTATAGTAAACAACAGCACGTATAAGAGAGACCGAGTACACGAGGTGTAAAAATTCCATGCTGTAGGCTACGGGAAATTCCGGTGCAGAAGCTTCGCAAGATTATAACTTGTACTGTTGCTGGTGAGTATCTTAAATATCTAATAATATCCTTAGGGAAGAATAAGAGGGGGGAGGGTGCGATCCATCGTGCGGAACCTGTCCCCGGAGGGCTGAACCCGTCCATTCCACGAGCCGAAAGAATCCGATGAAAATGTGTCGCCGCATCGTCTGTTCTCAAGATATTCCAGGTGAGAGTGAAATCTTTGTCCAACGCCCTCGCATTCTTCCGATATCTTTTTTTTTTCTTTTTTCTTTTTTCTTTTTACACCTTTCGCTCGTTGCTGCGAATATTTTCTTTGCTTCAACTTTTTCGCCGGGCCGGGCTGCTTCTTCGATGTGCAAGAACTCGCGCTCGGGGAATTCGCGCGCGCGATATTTTAATACCGAGTGAATCTTCCGCTCGAGCTTTCGGGGCGGGGGGGTTGCTGGAATCTTGGGGAAATTCTCGACGTTTGCGCGTTACGGAGTCTATGCGTAGGAGGCTCGGTATTTCTACGGGGTGCTTTTTTTTCCAAGTGCACAAAACAAGTAAGATGTGGGCGTTATTGTGCTTTATAATGTACCGGCTTTCTCGTCACTCGATCATCTTATGTACATTTCGTCTTTCTTGATATTTCACGACGTGTATTCTTCTCTTCGATGGAAAGCCATGGAAGGAGGGAGAATTTTTCATTATCCTTAAAGTTTTTTCACACGCTTTTTTGGCTTTTGATTTTTTTTCGCGTGGTGGTTGAAGCTCGTAAGAAGTTTGTTTGGTTGGCGAATTTTCCAACTTAACATTGATTCAATGAGACGCATGTTCCGATGTTAATGATCGTCAAATTATTTACACGTTTGTTCAAAAAGTTGAAATTAAAGTTAAAAATGAACAATGAAACACAGAGGTAACGGAGAAAGAAAGAGAGTGTCCAGAAACAAATGAAATTCGTTTGAACCCTGTGGATGATCGATTTCACCGAAACAGTTCGTATAGCGTACAAAAGCCCGGCCTTTGTGAAGATACGCCAATTACACCTGCTGACGTTACACTCGACATTGTTGTATTTTTTTTTTTTTTTTCTTCATGTCCCTACCTTTGTCCGGCTTATCAACCTGCACGTTTGCACCGACACATCTATTCCACGTGTTTTGACATTGCAAATCGACCTGAATTAGAATTGAAAAAAAAAAAAAAAAAACTGCATCGGATGTCGATGAACCTGACAACGTGCTTTTTTCAATTACAACGCGTGTGTTGCGCCATGAACGCGCGATTCAATGCAAAGAAGAGCGATTTGCTGCATAATTCGACTGGCCATTTTATCAACAGGAGAGTGTCACACTAGAACTGCTGGGAGAAAAGAAAAACTGTGACTGTGTGGATACGTTGATTTTTCGATGTATTTCTTCATCCCCTTATTTTTTTTGCCGTCCATGTTCAAGTTCAGTCTGCAATTCAAAGAAATGTTTGAATCCGAACGGTACATATTCTCGTGAATGGGATGCAATTGACATGGTTTGTTAACAAAAATAGTAAAATAGTGGAAAAAAAGGAAGCCAGTGGTTGCAAAAACGTACATGGAATCGCCAAAAAAAAAGGACGCATTTTCTAGCTTACGATCCCTACGTGCATATACCCACTCATCCATATGCAAGCTCCATCAACGATAACGCCAATGCGTCAAACAAAAACAATAAAAGAACAAAAAGAGACGCTTAGTAACGCAAAAAAACTAAAGAGAACGAAAAATACAGCCCAACAGTCCGGCGCACGCTTTTCGAGTGCAACATCTGTTTTCGAACGCAAATGGACGAAAGAGCTTTTTTCGTTAAAGCTCGCGTGCCCCCCCAGACGGTATACAGTTGCGCGTTGCGCTATGACGGATGCATGGCGTATACACATCAATCGGTTTTCGTATAAACCGATGAACTCCTGCTTCGTTGCAAGCAGTGCCGTACACTCGAGCGAACTGGCGCTCGAAATTGCAATTAGTCTAACAACTGCCGCCTTCTCGCGCAAGACACAAAGCTCTTTGCTCCATGGGTAATTGGATTTTGGAGTTCACCCCTGCGCCATCCATCCTTTCTCTCTCTCTCCCTATCTTTATCGGGCTAACTCTGCCTGATCAGAGAAAAAGCGTCACGGAACGTTATCATTTTTTTTTTTTTTTTTTTTTCCCAAAAGGACTCAAAAAAAAGTGGTTTTTTTTTTTTTTTTTTTTTTTTTTTTTTTTTTTTTTTTTTTTTTTTTCCAAAAGGTACTCAATAAGAATAACGTTTTTTTTTTTTTTTTTTTTACTTTTAGCTTACCCCAAAGAGATTATAATAAATATCGCACTGAAAGTCAAACGGAAAATCCCATGGTTTTGTGTGGAGGGCAATCGAAAAAGTAGGTACGTGATACGTTTCTATTAACTTCATGAGCCAAAAGATTTATGAAAAAATAAATATGACAAGTATTGATCATGAATGTGATCGAGTGCAAAGAAACAAAGTTCTTACCTCATACAACTGATTAAAGAGCGATTGACAGAGAACTATAGAAAATATTGAAATTGAAAATTGTTAAAATCGGTAAAAAAAAAAACGTACTTCACAAATCAGATCACTGTGACCCACTCCCAAATACCTTTGTACATATATATATATCCTTTTAAGTAAAAACGTACAAGAAGCCCTGCTGGTAAGGTACCCGGATACCATTACTTTGATTTTAATAGAAAAAAAAAAAAAAAAATCCAAAAAATCCTGAGAAACGAGTATACCTTGAGCGTTCAAAGGCCACTTACGTCAGTTACGACAAACCACTTCCTCGCTCTTGGTATTCAAGTGTGGCCTGCAAAGAGGGGTATTCAATTGATCGAACTGTAAGCACGGGCATTTAAACCGCTCGCTCTCCCCCAAGCACACTCAAAGTCTAAGATTACTCAACGCGGGTGCGAGACCGTCTTTTAACGCTACAAATACACACATATTGTACGGTTTAGCGGCAATTCCTTTACTGTCATTCCTCACCGTTGCCCCAACAGGCTTTTGTACTAATTCACCCGTCACAATGGATACGATTCTTTGTAATCTGTTGAAATGCGTATAGATTCATGGTATGAATTGGAGAAATCTTTTACCTTAACAGTGTGAAGCACCAGTACGGGATGTATTAAATTCATGATTCGATTGCACCCTTTCGTGAGAAAATAGTTGGAGGACTAGCGCAATAAAGTCCGTTTTTATTCCACGAAATCCACTGAAAAAAGTTTTTTTTTAATACATCGACATAAAAAATTGATCGGAAATAAGTTTATATTGTAAATGAACAGGGAAACTTTGCCAGAAAAGCCAAATAATCTTTTTTACGTCACGGATTACAGCAGAGATAAGTCTCAAAAGTCTAGTTGACTCGTAACTCTCGTTTTCTCAAAACGAGAAAACGTCAAACAAAGTCCATGAGACACTCACTCTCATCATCTCACAATGATCACTTTGCAAGTTTTTGCAATTCTGTGATGGATAAATTTTATTAATGTAGTAAAACCCCGGTTCTCGTGAGACATCATGATTTTTGTCGAACCGACAAAATCGTAAAAATTACACTTGAAAGTTACCTGACTCATGCAGGCACAGCTAACGCCCATTATTATACCATTACCATACCTTGCTTGTTGAACATAAACTTCAATCCAATTGAATCATTTTTATATCTTACGTACGAAACAGTTTAGTACATGTCTGGTACAAATAAATCGAGAAACGGAGAATGGAGTATTGTTGATTTCCTGTAGATGGCGTTCGAGGCCTAAATTCCAAATTCAGGCTTCTTATATTTTGTGTAGCTCGACAAGCGTGTACCTACCAAAAGATGTAAATTTGTAATGATTTCTTAGGAAAATCAATAACTCATAATTATTAGCAAATTTATCATCCTAAAAGTATAATTTGGTATAATGAAAAAGTTTATAGGAATTAGGAATTAATTATACTTAATTGTGAAAACGTAAATAGAATAAATCTACTTGATTCTCCATTTCTTTCATTGTTTCCATCTCATAACCGATCTCAATGCAATCTTTCCTGATACTACTTTATTTTACGACGCACCTACTTACTTTGGGATGATAGACGTATATGTGTATAATCAAATTGATATAAAATAAAATCAAGAAAAACCGAGAGCGGTGATTTGAAATCGGCCAAGAAGAGCCGAGTGAGCGATACTTAAAAAAAAAAAAAAAAACAAAAAAAAAACACGGAGTTCAGCAAGCGATCGGGAGAGCAAGAAAGAGAGCGTCTCTGCACACACTCGCGCGTAATATCACACGTACAGATAAGAAGTTAACGGCGACCGTGAGTTGTGCTCACGATGAGCGATGGAGGGGAACCCTTCGCCTTCGGGCTTGCCCCCCCACTTCTGTCTCGTTCGTGCTTTTCCGCCAGCGACCGGCTGTATGTACTGTACATGCGACGAGTACGCTACACTTATTTCAAACACATGACATATGATAAGCTCTCCCGCTCAAGCGCTATAGCTTACGAAAAGGGTAGGGGGAAGGGAAGTGGATGATAGCGGCGGCGGCAACCAAAAAATATTGAGTAGTGGGGGGTGGGAAGTGGTGGGGGCGGAGGGGAGAGACGCGAGCTCCTTCACCGAAGCGGAGAGATGAAGAACGCGAGCGTATATGCGCAGACCGGGCTGCGCAGCAGGCGTGTGCGTTGTCCAGATTCTTTGTGTCATTCTTGGCATACCAAAAACAGAGCGCAGCCAGCGGTTCGAGCGACTAGCGCCTCGCGCAGGCCAACTCTTCCCATTCTCGAATCGTAATACATGTATATGTACATGCATATATGCCTGTATACCCACAAACACATGGAGATTCATCAACAGCAATAGTGGGACATATATAGGTCCGTGAGTATTATATTCCTCTTCTGCCCCGGTGGTGTGTTCCGTTCTCTGTTTTGTGCAACCATCCGTCGTCTTGGTCGTTCTCTTGCAGTGCGGTGTGTAACAAACTGTGCGTGGCCGTGTATAAATGTAAAAGTACTTTGTGTACTCGAGTGCTTCGAAGTGCTTGTATTATACACGCACACCATTTTCGTATGCTCACGCGCGCAAACACCATCATAGAGGCCAAAGCAACAGCTCAACCTCGCAACGTCCGTTCGGAAGCTGATGCCGAATACTTCACCAGGTTATTGCCGTCAACGTCGATGACTCCAACTACACAGCCGGCAGAGTAAGTATTGCTAGTGAGCTAGCAATGAGTGAGTCAGAATAAAAAAAAAAAAGAGGGAGCAAGAGAGAGAGACGTGTCAGTGTATTGTTGTGTGCATTGTGTTACTATTATGCTGTTGGCTGGGAGCGAGAAGAAGAGGGAAGATCCAAGAAACAGCACATAACAGGCGCGCGCGTTGCGTTCAGCACTGTCTATGTATCTGTGTATCATACCTATGCATGCTTGTATCTGTGTGTGTTATGTTGGAGCGTTAAGATTAAAATAGAGCTAACGCGTGTTTTTTAAATTCATCAGCGAGTGATTAATGTGACAAAAGAATTGTATTGTCGAGATTGTCGGTAGCTCTAACCTACCTACCTGCAAAGTGCGCCGAAAACTTGTTAGTGACAGTATAAAGCCTAGTGTCTTTGTGTTGTTTTATTTTTGTTGTGCAATTGAACGAACACCCGAAGAAGAAACAAAAAAGGTGAACACACTGCACCAGAGTGTGAACTTTTCGTAGTGAGAAGAACAGCAGCAGTTCCTCCTCGCAGAGAGAAGAATAAACGCCGCCGAGACGAGGGACTACACGGCGACCCACGTCAGCTCGACCTGTGGTAAGTAGGTATTATAAACACTGAGAAAAAGAGAGACGGAAAGCTACATAGAACCACCAGCCATCAGCAGTAAGCTGCAAGCTGAGCATACTATACTACACATTACCATGTACCCAATATGATACGTACACACATACAGTCATACAAAAAGTACAGAAAGAGAGGGGCAGATAACCTGAGAGCGCGCGCGCATGTTAGCTGGTGGTGAGTGGTGACTGTGTGTATATAAATAGAGCTGTGAGCGCGCGATGGCTCGGTCGGCTAGGTCGTGGATTGGCACACGCGGGAGACCGTGGTTCGATTCCCGGCTAGTGCGACTCTTTCGGGCAAGTACCTCTGTGATTCTCACATGTGCTTTTTCACCACGCAATGCTCCTCGAGGAGGATGTAGGCGACCTCCTCGCAGCACAATTGCCTATTATTTTCCCCCTACGCCCCTTCCAGTAGTGGGAGGCCTCCCATCCCTCATCCCTTCCTTCTCCAAAGTGCTAAGTGCCCTGTGTAGTGCCCTTATTAAAGGAGCCGGACGTGTAGAGCACTATAATATATAAAAAAAAAAGTGTATATAAGTATAGCTCGTCCGTTTGATATACATATGCTCTCTTATTCGCTAGATATATTATATTTATACATACATGTCATAACTCTGTCCTCATCCGACGACGCCCGCGCAATTTTACCTCGTATAAACGCCGTCATCGGATATTATTTTTACTTTTGATTGGATTATGATGTGTATCTTTCCTTTATTTTAAGTTTATTTATCCACAGCTTGATTTGTTGAATGAAAACGGAGCAAGAGATAATATTCAGTGGTTCTCAGCAACGAATGAGAGAAAGCTACTAGAGTTATAAGAGGTTTGTTCAAGCCCTTGTTGGTTCGGTTCGGTTCTCTTAACAAAATATACCTATATATACAGAACCAGTTCTGTTTGGTTCCCTATATATAGGTATATTTTGTTAAGAGAACCAAACCGAACCAACAGGGGCTTGAACAAATCTAAGATTTCAGCCGTGAATGCCGTTGGGTTTTCGCTCTCTTGCGTCGCCCTCGGGGAGTCGAGGAGAGGAGGAGATTGTCGGTGCGAGGGACCAAGACTCGAAGCCAAGAGAAAGAGCGGAGAGCAAGAGACGGTGAATGAGAAAAAGAGGGGGGTGAGTGAAAGAGATGAAGGGTAGGAGGAACAGGTTGAAGCGGCTGCTGAGGCTGTTTTAATTCTCCGGGGCTCTCTTTTTCGCTCTCTTTAGGCTTGCGATGGTGTGTGTGCTTTTACCTTTTTCTTTTATGAGCAACGCGTGCTCCTTTGCGCGCCTATGTGCTTATACTTCGTGGGTTTTGTATTTTGAACCACACTGACAGGTGAACTTTTTTCGTCGGCTTTGTTGTGCCCATATAGGTTTCTGCATTGCTACTTTTTGAGCTTTGTACGTGGTCAGTATTCTCTTTTTTCTATTTCATGTTAGGACCTAACTAGATTTAAATTAAAGGAGAAGAAGAAAGGCAAGGATTAACATCATCAGAAGTATCTGTAAAGAAGTGGAAAAGATGACAGAGGTGGAGGTAATTGTTTATGAGATCTTGAAACTTAGATACTTTTTCAGCTATTACATAAATTTTTACTTTTAATTCAATAAGAAGCTACAACAATTTGCTTTATGTGATTAGATTGACATTGAAACTGCCATTGCTCCATTTTTTGGCTAGAATGTCACTGTTCTAAAACTAATTATTTTTTTAAATCACAAAAACATGTTTTTATTTTGATTCGGTGGATCAAATGTAACTGATGTGAAAAGCAAGCAGACGAATAAATATACATTGTTACCACATTTGTCAAACTATCAAAAATAAAAATGTACCCAGATTATTTACGGATTTATTTATTTCTTCAGTACATAACCTTGTGGAATCCTAAAGAGGAAATATTGGATCCTATTTTATTCATCCATGGTCTATTACACTTCCTTCTGATCATATTCTAATGTATATGAGTGCAATGTAAAGATTTCTATAAATGGGGTACCTATACTTTCATGTCTTGTGATTACTGGGAGATGAATCATGGTAAAAATTATTAATACTAGCTGATTAAACAGTACTTGGTTAATTTTGTTAAATCGCGTCAAATTTTGATACTTGATTATGTAGGATCAATCTCTACCTTTGATTGATTTCCACCATCACCTCTACCAAGCTGCACACTTTTTTATCGGTCTATCATTAATCGCTCGTTGCACTGTTTTAGTTAGAAGACCGAGGTAGTTGGATTCGTCACTAATGATAAGAAAATTATCGAAACTTTTTTCGTAGTACAATGACTGTTGCTACATACACATTTGCAGCATAAAAATTACTTCATAAAAGTTAATGTATTGTCAATAGGAATGAATGTTCTTGAATGCTATGAATACTAAACAAGACTGGTTCTACTACCTGTATCAACGTATGATCATAGCAATGTAGTTTTTACTAGCTGGTTGTACATTATATGGTCAAACGAAAGACTCTAAACAGACATTATAAGTTTCAATGAAGGGTTCATTTTGGTATTTGCTCTTAACAACTATTAAAATTTATAAACTGGCTTTAACAAAGGTATTTGATCAAACCACGTATTATCATCTTTCAAATATCGTTGATGACCCTCTGGCTCGGTAGTATCACCTTGGGCACGAAGCTTATCACTCCCACCGCTTATCCCGATACTCGTATGCGTATCAAGTTACACGATAGGTGGTGGGTGCAATCGTGCCTTAAAAGAGATCACGCACGAATATAATATACCCTAACAAAAGATTTCGTGAGTGAAAGAGAGAACCAGTCAGCCGTCAGCCCTTCTCTCAACGCGCGCACAAGCGATACACAGTAAGAGAGAGAGAGAATCGCGCCGTTACCACCACCACCATCCACCTCTGCCGCCTCCACCACCACCACCACCACCAGCAACAGTAGTAGCTAAAGTTGTCCGCGCCGTCGCCGTTGCTGCTGCTGCTGCCGGCGGCGCTGCTCTACGTGTAGCTGCTCTCTGCCGCTACTGTCGTCGACGTCGTCGTCGTAGCCGTTGTTAGGAACGCGAGGAGGGAGAGAGACAGTTTGCGCGCCCGTCATGTTAGCTCGTGCCAGCATCAGCAGCGAGCCGCACTTCCGAGTCCCCCGTGAGCGCCAGAACCGCGGAAACCCGCCGTTAATGCTACTCCTGTCACCCGGCTACGTCTAATCTTTCTCGTGCGGTATCGCGGACTCGCCTATTTTTCCACGTGCACGTCAAGTGTGTTCGGTTATTGTCACGATTTCGTTGCTTTTCTTCTCATTTCGTTGTGTTCTTTCAGTCAGTTTGACTCCAAAATGCTTGCAACAAGAGAACATCGGTAGTGCGCGAGTGTGATTTTCATCGCTTGTGGTGGTCGCATCGGGTGCAATTTTGTCCCGCGTGACAATCGGAGTGTCCCCGGCAGAGGAGAAAAGAAAAATCACCAACTGCATGTGAGACCCAAGTGTTCAAGTTTCACGAGTGACCGCGTACCCGCTCTGCCCCTCGATGAGCCGGCGGCCGGTGTTGTTGACGCCGCTGCCGCGGCCCGTGCACAACGTGCGCGCGCTACGACGCATTTTTCGAATTCCACCGGTGTGACATTTCTCGCCGATCGCCCTGCTACGGACTCTAGCGTTACGCCCACCCGTTGGTGCTTCCTGTGAACTTACAATCGAGAAGCGGATTGCGGTCCATCGTAGCTCTTGACGGAGAAAAGCGTCCGACGGGGCGCTTTTCCCAATCGGCGGACAATCGTACGCGAGATCAAGATGCCGCTGACCGGCCGGTGATCGCAGTGAAGCTTGGAGCTCGAGAATACTCTCCGCGTGTGGTGCTTTTTTTGTTGTTATTGTTGTTGTTGTTGTTGTTGTTGTTTTGTTTATATATTTAACCCAACGTGCGCGTCTGTTTCCGTCCTCCAAGTTGGATTAATCTTGTTGCACGAGTGCTCGAAGAGACGTGCCACATGAGCTAAAAGAGGGCGTCCGTTGGTTCTGTTTCTTTTGAATTTTTGCCCCTCTCTCTCTCCTTTTTTTTTTTTTTTTATCATTTGTTTTTCTCAAAGGAAACAGTGCGAGAGAGAGAGAGAGAGAGAGCGGCGAATTTAATCCGGTGTTGGTGTTAGTGACGCACTCGAGGCGCAAGACGGGCGACGACGAGGGACAAAAAGGCCACTTCGTCGTCGAAGACTCCTCGCCAGCTCTACTGTTGCGTCTTGGATGGATACCGTGCATTATTTCTGGAGTGAGTTCTTCTATCGCCTCGTTCGTTTTACCCTCTCGCTCCTCCTTGCGATGCTCCTTTTTTTAGACCCACGCAAATATACACGAGCTGACACGAGAAACATACCCCGGTCTGCCTCTCTCTCCGTCTATTTGCGCGCGTGCCGGCTGTATTCGCGGCTCGAAGTACTCGACGCTCCGATGCTCGCTTCTCCTCTGCGTCTCGATGTTTTATCTTGCTACTGGCTGGTGTATTATTTGCTGTTGGCTATTTTCGTAGGGGAAAATGCCGAAATTTTTTTATTCATTTTAATTTACGGTAAAACAGCTGGTTTTTTTTGTTTTTTGTTTTTTTTTTTGTTTTGATGATGTCATTGGGGAGCAATTTATCGACAAAAATGAGTATTGAAATGCAATATCGAGACGCCTTACTTGCTTTAATCTTATCATTTTTGTTGTTACACTTGTTCTCCTCGTTTCTTTAATTACTCTTTTTTTTTTTTTTTTTTTTTAATTGACTTCACGTGTTACGGATAAAAATAAAAACAAGACACGTTTTAGTTCAACGATACATGATGATCATAGGTATGTATTTTCAAGCTTTGTCGAAAAGTGATTAAAGAGTTCGAGTGGTTGTGACCGATTTAAAGAAAACTTTCATTCACGAGACGCGTGACGCTTCGATTGTTAGTCACAAAATGCAGAGTCGCTGACACTCCAATCACGTTTTGGTACATCGAATGGT